CATTCTCTCTGTCTCAAATAAATAAATAAAATCTTTAAAAAAAAAAAAAGAAAGAAAGAAAGAAAAAGCCTTGGTTAAATTTAAAGAGGGGGCATCTAGACAAAATGCTTAGCTATGGTAACCAAATGAAACTAAATAAAAGGACTGATCATAACCTTGCTTGTCAGAGGCTTCCCATCCTCTGACATCAGTCTTCGTTTCCTTATTATATACTGAATGGATCTCCCCAAATGCTACACTGTCAGGGAAATAGCCAGTAAAATACTTTCATCCCCACTGATGAGTACGAAACACTACCTAAGTGTCGATTTAACTGAATTGGGCTTTAAAAACTCATTATTTGATCCTATCAGTGTTTGAATCAATGTCTCTCATTTTTAGATTTAGCTACCAAGCATTATATAGCTATATACCACAGAATGATGATGAATTGGAACTCCGAGATGGAGATATTGTCGATGTCATGGAAAAATGTGATGACGGATGGTTCGTTGGTAAGTGATCTCCTCGTGCTTTTCTTTTAGCTGTGTATTGAAGAAGTAACTAGGAGTGATAAGCCATGCAAAAGGCAATATTCTCTGCACAGAAAAAAGAGCCTTTCTCAAATCCAGTACTGCTGTCAGGAATGCTGGGCCCCCCACTTTGTGCTTGCTCTGAAGACAGTGTGGATGACGCTCATGATACTGGACCCAAAAACCAAATACGCCAACACGACTGCACAGAAGGGCAATTGTCAAATTCATTACTTGAGTTCTGTTTGTATTTCTCTTGTGCGTATATCTGTTCTACATTTGAAAATTTTCTTTTTTTTTTTTTAAACTCTTATGGAACAGCACAAGAAAATTTGAGCCTAGGTCTCAACTGTGAAACTCAAGCATATGTGTAGACCTTCCAAAGACCTTATTTACTTCAGGCTTCTCATAACTTTAAAAAAGCAACCTGCCTAATTAAAAGATTCACCGTCAGAGAACAGGAGAAAGATCAATGTTCTTTGAGATTTTGTTCCAAAGCAGATACTTGCTTAATATACTTTGTTACTGGAGTTCTCAGCAAATAGCCTGTGAGACAAGAATTATCCTCAGTTCACAGACTCAAAAACTGAAGCCTGAAGAGGTGACGTAACTAGCCCAGGTCACCCAGGTAGCCAGTCATGGAGCCAGTAGTTGGACTCAGCTGCATCTGTCCCCAAGCCTCTGTTCTTTCTCCTCAGGCATAAATATGCCTTTGGGAGCCACTGACTCCCTTTTTACCTCTGTTTTCCCCTTGTACAAATGGCTTTACCTTTATCGTCTTTCTAAGACCAGCTCTTTCCTGATCTCTCTGGAAAATCTTTGCTAACGTGAAGTCCTCTCAGATCTGGGGTAGTAAGAATGGGAAGGCCTCAGCAGAAATGGGAAGCCAGAAAGATTTGCCTGGGCCTCACTGGCCTCTTAGAAAGCTGCCCCATCCTCCCCAGGCCCCCAGAAGCCTGTGGCCCCTCACTACCCTGAATCGCTCCAGTCAGAGGGAAGCCAGTCTGAGAAGTCGGCAACACTCCAGTGGAGTGCAGTCCGGTGGAAACAGAATACAAGCTGTGACTGGAATTTAAATTTTTCCGGAAGCCACCTTGAAAGAAGTAAAATGAAACCCTTGAAACTAATTCTAGGGATATATTTTATTAAAACCAATGCATTCAAGATATTATCATTTGAACATGTAATCGGTATAAAAAATTGTTAGTACGAATAGAAGAACATAAACTATCCCACTAAGCCTTAGAATTCTGATGTATATTTTATAGGTACAGCGTAGCTCAATTCAGACTAGCCACGTTTCGTGGCTGTCGTATTAGAGAGTGCAGCTGTGTTACAGATTCGCTGTTAAACTCCTCCAGGACTATTTACATTTTTTTTTTTTTAAGATTTTTTATTTATTTATTCATGAGAGACAGAGAGACAGAGGCAGAGGGAGAAGCAGGCTCCCCGCGGAGCAGGGAGCCGGATGCGGGACTCGATCCCAGGACCCTGGGATCATGACCTGAGCCGAAGGCAGACGCTTAACCGACTGAGCCACCCAGGCGTCCCTATTTGCATTTTTTAACGAGAACATGGGGTAGGGTGAGGGGCACCATTTCTCTAATGGGGGCACGCCTGGCAGCTAGGCCAAGGAAATATTCCTCAACCCCTCAAATGCTTCAAAACGTAGCCTAGTGCTCAGAGGAGAATCAAGTAACCCAGTGGAGCTCATTTTCTCGTCCATAAGGAAAGGTGAAAGCCAGCTATAGGAGTACATCCCTCACCCTTATCATCGTCTCCGTTCTCCGCAGCCTCCCCTGCGGTCCTCCCTAGGGGGTTCAGTTAGTTGTTTTAGATGTCTTTAGCTTTGATGCTTTCTTTTCGCTTCGGGCAGCAGCTCCAGCCTGCTGGTGGTGGCAGCTTGAAATGCTGTGTCCACCGGGGTCCTGAAGCCGTATCCAAGCCAACTGGGAAAAAGATGCGGTTGTCGAATTGTGCTACCTGCCAGTGATGGGGGAATAATGACATGGTCTGGATCTGCCACCACCCCCACCCGCAGCTTTAGAGAGTCAGTCCCGAGGGAAGGAGCTAGGTTAGGGATCCGGCAGTTCGGGATGTAGAGCAGCACAGGAAGGCCTTTGTGCCCAGGTAGCTCAGTGTTTCTGGCTCGGTGGGAACCCTGAAAAGGTTGGCAGCAGAGACAGGGAGTCAGCGTGGGGCTTAGGCACAAGCTTCTGAGAGGAATTTCCTTTTGACGTGTGGTCCTATCCAGTGGACTTCTAGAAATCCTACCGTTTAGAAATTCTAAATTCCTGGTATCTTGTGTTGAATAAATGGGCTCATTTTTTCCAAAAAGGAGAAGTATTGGAAAGAGCAGTGGGCTGGGAGTCAGAAGTCCTGGGTTCAGAGCCTGCTTCTGATGCTTGCTAAACTGTGGGACTTAAGCTCTGTGAGCTTCGAGCTCCTCATCTGAAAAAGGGGTGAGTATTGAGAATGCCTGCCTGGCTTAGCACCCAGCATTATTTTGTAGCCTAAATGAGATAAGGCAGGGAAAAGTGCTTTGGAAACCATATGCTGTCCTTCATGCCACAGGGTTGTTATCCAGGGGCGCTTGGGTGGCTCAGTCAGTCGAGCTTCCAACTCTTGGTTTCGGCTCAGGTCATGGTCTCAGGGTTGTGGGATCGAGCCCCAATTTGGGCTCTGTGCTCAGTGGGGAGTCTGCTTGGATTTCTCTCTCCCTCTGCCCCTCCCCCTGCTCGCACGCGCACTCTCTCTCTCTCAAATAAATTAATTAAAAAACAAAACAAAAAAACAAAGGGCTCTCTCTGAACTCACATGGGTGAGTCTTCTGATTTTGCTTGTGTTTTGTTTGTTTGTTTGTTTGTTTGTTTGTTTTTTATAGGTACTTCAAGAAGGACAAGGCAATTTGGTACTTTTCCAGGCAACTATGTAAAGCCCTTGTATCTATAAGAAGATTGAAAACCAGAGATTATTTTTATTGGAGGATGAAGCGTAATTCATGAACTGGACTCTTTATTTAAACATTGAGTCAGTAGGAAAACTAATGCAGTGGATAAAGTAAGAAGCAAAACAGAGGGACAGAGAAGTGTTGTGTCTAAAGCCTGAGCCTGTCTACGCTTGCTGTGTATCAGGCAAGCCGAACTGAGGAAAAAGGAATGAGGCAAATCTGTATTTACTTAGCTGCTTCTGGGAGCCACTCCAAGCCTTCCCAGCCTTTCCCCTTCTTGGGTAATCTGACCTGTAACACAGTCCAGGATCAGTGAGGTCAGAAATGTCTCTTGCTGCCCAGGCCTTGACCAGCTCTGGCTCAAAGCGGTCATTTAGCCAGAAGCAGCCCTCGGAGCACCAGGCAGATCCCCAGCCATTCTCCAAAGGCTCCGCACCCCGGCCACCCCGGAGCCCACCGTTTTCCCAACATTGCTGGAGATCTGCCTGGGATGCCGAGGCCATCCCTGGACAGTGGCGGGGGCCCCCCAGGCTATCCAAGACCATGTGCCTCACTCCTGGGGTACGTGGAGAAATGGAAGCAGAATGGAGCTGCCCTGTGCAGTCAGCCTGCATGCAGCGTTGCCCTCCACGCCCCTGGTGTTCAGACAGAAAAGCACATGAGGTTTGCCTGTGGGCGTGGGGTGCCCAGGTCAGGTAGTTAAATTTGTGTTTCCAAGTGATGAAGTGAAGAAGTTCTGTAGCTGTCAAGGTCACTTGCAGTGTGGTCCTTTCCCATATCACTGACTTTTGTAAGTGGTCACCTTCGGCACAATTTCATTTACCAGAATGCCAGTGCTAAGCTTTCTTTTCTGGATTGTTTCTGGCCAGGGCAGTGTGAGGTCGCGAGGCCTGTTCTCACAGAGAACCAAGGATGGCGTTCAGTGAATCATTTAATAGACACTGATGCACACTGGATGCCGGGGCGACCGGTGAGCAGGACGTGCTCCACACCGTAGGCCCACCGCGTCCTCATTTTTACTCCCCGAAGTAGTTCAGGGACCACCCACAAGGTGGTGGCCCAGGGTCCTGAATCCCGACGCACCCTGGTGAGGCCTCGCTTCAGAGCAGAAGGCACACAGGCAGCAGCCCCACGTGCGAGGCAGCTGGAGGCCTGCCCTCTGTGGGGCCACGTGTGAGGAGGGAGGCCCCTGTGACGCCTGGGGTGCTCAGTCACAGCTCCATCCAATTTGAGGATGTTCATCAGCCCCTCTGGTAGACCCCTTGAAGAAATAGGGACTGGCCCACCTGCCTGCCGGGAACTCAGAGGTGACGGGAGGGGCAGACACACAGGAATATTGGGTCCAGAGAGACTGTGATACGTGCTAAGAAGGGTATGAGAGAGATGGAGGTGATCTTTCCCTGGAGAGACTCTAGAAAGCATTGTCGTATTTCTCTCTCCATTCGCTCACTCTTGAACAATGAGGCTGCTAGAAGAACCTTTGTCCGAGGGTAGTTTATGGCTGGAAGTTCTTGGAACTGTTTCCAGAGTCTTCAAACTCTCATCCTCCCCACAAGTACACATCCCAGGTCACAAATAGAAGCAGCGATTCTAGGTAGGTAAGGAGTATACAGGAACCCTGGCGCTCTGCATGTAGCTCAGAATTGCCGGCGGACCATTGTCCCAAAGTCTGGAGTCTTTACAAGTAGGCGGAGTTTGTCTTCAGTGCCTCTGCCTCGCCCTCTGTCTCTACCACCCACCTGCCACCCATCAGCTGTGCACCCCCCCCTTTCCCCATCAGACAGCCTCATTCTCTCCCTGTCCTTCTTTCAAGTCCCGGTCTCAGGAAGGAAACTGCTGCTTACTCCTTCACACTAGAGTGCAAATGACTGATAAGAGGAATGTGTTAGCTTCTTCCCAGAGACATTTGTTTTTAACTAGGACAGAGCAGAGCCTTAACCCCAAGGAGTGAGGCTGTGGAACTAACGGTGGGGGTAGGGGGTGCCGGTGGTGAAGGAGGAGGAGCTTCCTGGGTAGAAGGAGCCTTCCCGATAGTCTTTGAATCAGACTCCTTGTTGTGGAAGGTCCACTTCACCATCCGAGGGTGCCGTATGTCTCTCTCCGAGGGCATATGCACGTGCGTTTTGCACGACAGCACTTCACTCGCTTTTGGAATGTAACTCCTGTATTGGCCGACATGTTTCCTGGTCTGTCTTAGATGCAGACAATTAATAACGATCTTACTCTTAATAGTTTTTTTTGAGGGGTGCTTCTTGATTAAGTAGGTAATTTTGAACACCTAGAAATACAGCTAGAAAATAAAACCAATCTGTAAAGCCGCATTTGCATATGATGCCAGCCTCACGCATTTGTAGATCCCCAGAAACCCAGGTATGCCTCACCGATTTGCCCGTCTTTAACAAAATCATGTTAAAATTTGCAAAATTTGCATCGAACTTCGGCTTCCTATGTATGACAAGACAAGGAACAAAGGTTTCCAATTGCTCTTTTGTCCTCAGACACTTAGTAATATAAAATACCTATTTTTATGCTGAAATATTTATACAGGTTTATTAATAGCAAGTGCAACTAACTGGCACCATGCCTTGCAACACATTTTGATATACTCGCCATGCTTCTGGGTAAAGGCAAGCCCCCAACTACTTATCTTTTGCAGTCTCTCTCGGATCAGTAAAAGAAAAAAAATCATATGCGTAAGAAGTAGGACTGTAAATATGTATATTTAACTTTGTATAGCCCATGTACCTACTTTGTATAGAAAAATAATTTTAAAAATTTGAACTGAAGGGGGGTAAAATGAGGAAGTCATGAAGTTTTTTGCATTTTTATTTAAATGAAGGAATTCCAAATAACTCACCTGCAGATTTTTAGCACAAAAATAGCCATTGTAAAGTGTTAAAATTTCAAATAATCATTCTTTCTGGGAGAGAAGGTAATTGTTATCTCAGTTATATAGGCTTTTTTAATTTTGTTTTTGATTTTTTTTTTTGCAGTCCTATTTATCTACAGTAGGTATTAAGTTCTTTTGCTAGAATAGGTTACTACAGAGAAGATTATATTCTGAAAGAAAAGTAACTGACATTATATATATAACCAATTAATTTAAAGTGTTGCCATTTTAATTACACCTGGAGAGCATGTACTATGCCGACACAGATTGTTCTGTTCATTTATTTTTCTTTATTGCGGTGGATTGATTTGATAAATGGATGTGTTGAGTTACTACATTTGCTGTACATATTATTTAATAAACTTTATTCAGAATTGCGTGGCATATGTTTGTTCTTACCATTCATTGTTTCTTTCCTTCCTTCGCCAAGTTTCTCAGGGGAGGCTTATATTCACTGCTTCGATATCGCATCCTCTCCTTTCCCTTCTTAATCACATACCGTCTCACTTTGCTCCTGGAAGGCCTCACTTCTTACCTTACTCCTTTCTCAATAAGCTAACTCTGTGACCTTCTCTGAATGGACTACTGTTGGCCATCTCACCACGCTTTCTATTCTGATTGCAAAAATAATGATGTGTCTTTAAAAGCACAAGTGAAACATTATAAAATATGTGCAACGGGTCTTGATTTGCTCCGCAAGACATGGGTACAGGAAATGATACAGCATTTGGTTTTCCTAAATCGAGTTAAATCGGCTATGAGCCTTCTCTTGCTATGATGGGTGAAAATGCAGTCTGTCCCCTTTCACACCAAGTGTGTCAAGATGGTGTCTTAGGCATCCAGCCTCCCCTGGCATCCCATGACTAGGACCACACCCATCTCTGGGGGGCAGGGCCTGCTGTGCACAAATCAAACCTCCACCTTCCCCTGGTTCTGTCCTTCTCCACCTCTGTCAACTCAGCACTGCCACCTCTTGGGGGTGACTCAGTGACATCCCTCTCAGTAGACGTAGGCCTCAAACAGTCATGGGAGAAGGGTTGCCTTCCAGGGGGTCTGACAGCCTCAGGACTGAGCCCGGGGTCACAGGCACTACTTTCAGGCTGTTCATCCCTTCCAACAAATCCATCAGCTGTACTTTCAGAGTACATTTAGAACCCAACCTTTTCTCTCTGGAGAAAGCCATTTTCTCTCTGGATCCTTGTGCTTGCTTTCTAACTCACCTTCCTGCTTCCACCCTTGCTGCCTCTACTCCGGTCTTAACAGAACAACCAGAGTGAGCATTTTAAAGTCTATCCAAAACCCTCTTGCGGCTTCTCACATCACTGAGTGGTACCATGGCCTCAGGTCCATTGATACACTGTCCCACCCCCCTCCCTTACCTTGGCTTCGTTTCTCCTTGTTCCTTATGGCCTCAGACTCGTCAAGCACACTGCAAGTTCAGGATCTTCCATTCTGTCTTCTGGGCCCGGAAGACCCTTTCTGCTGGAGCTGCATGGCCTTCTTCTCCCCTCTCTTTACATCTTTAGGTTGCCTTCTCAACGAGGCTTTCTCTGACCACTTTATATATAACAAGACCCTACTCTTTCCACCCAGCATCCTCGCCCCCTTCTCATCCTCTGTGCTTTATAACTCATCAGCATCTGATATGTGTTTCACAATCCTGTAAAATCCATGAGGATAATTATTCCATTTGGCTTTTATATGCCCAGCACCAAGAAGAGTGCCTGACATAGTCGGCACTCAGTCACTTGATCAAGTAAATGCGTACGTTAATGAACCCCTGGGGCCAGAGATCTTAGAACTCAAAATACTAACAATGAAGGAAGGGATGCGTTATCAGTCCTTTCTTACAGCAGCAGAAATAGAACAGCAATTAATCTCAAATTACTCTGAGCTCATACAAACAGCAGGTGAGAATTTTCTGTAATTACAGTCACCTCCCCACAGAGATTACTGCTGCTGACCATCCACTCTATGGTCCTCTGAGCTTTCTTTGTACAGTACATATGGTCTATAAACAAAAGCTTTGCATGGTCTTATACACTTTTTCCTCCCTTAACAATAGAGCCTGGACATGTTTCCATAATTTACTTAACCAATCCCCTATTGATGATGCAAATATTGCCAGTTTTTTCCCCCACAATAAACAATGCTGCATTGAATACAATTTATTGGCTTAAAGAGCAAGAACATTTCAAATCTTGAGATACTGCCAAATTGCCTTCCAAAATACATCACACCAGTTTATACTCCCGCCAAGTATGGGAGTGTCTGTTTCCCCACCACCCAGTTATCTGCTTCCATGGAATGCTGTTCCTTGGTTCATCTGCCTTTTCACCGGCCAGCCCACTTTCTAGATCTTTATTTGCATTCCCAGCCATCTGTTACTTTCTCTTAACACATGCTCCTTCGGGGAGTAGATCCCTTACAATGTAATTTGGCAGAAAGAGTCAGTTGTATGGGGGCTCCCGTTGATGATAAGTGGTAGAAACCTAACACTACGGGCCATTCTTGGGTCAAATCGCTGGAAAGAAGGGAGTTGGAACCCGCCTCGGGCAGGAGCGAATCCAGATTCTCAGACTCTTGTACTTGTCTTTTTTTTTTTTTTAAAGATTTTTTATTTATTTATCTGAGAGAGAGAATGGGAGACAGAGAGCATGAGAGGGGGAGGATCGGAGGGAAAAGCAGACTCCCTGCCGAGCAGGGAGCCCGATGCGGGACTCGATCCCGGGACTCCAGGATCATGACCTGAGCCGAAGGCAGTTGCTTAACCAACTGAGCCACCCAGGCGCCCCAGACTCTCGTACTTGTCTTATTCTTGGCGCTGTTGGCTTGTTTGGCTACATTGTCACCTACCGAGTGCGGCAGTAGGCAGCCCTGGGCTCATTCTTACAGGCCTCCGACACCCTTTTCTAGGGAAAAGGGCCTTCCTGTTGTGCTTCCCTGAAAACAGTTCCAGACCCTGCCAGGTCCAACTTGGGTAGTTATCCTTCCTTTGACTAATCACTGGCCGAAGCGGGTATAGTATGAGTGACAGCCTCACCAGCACCATGTGGACTGGGGGGAGAGGAGAAGGCCAGGGGAGGGGTGTGCTGCTAGAAGAAGGAAGAAGGCAGCTGGATCAGTAACTCAATGGTCCACTGTGCAAGCCAGACTCTGAGCGTTACTGTGACAAGCTTTGGAAAATGGAATACCCTTGCCCTATCAATACAAATGTCAGTGAGCTGAATGTAGGCTATGTGCTGAAGCTCTGCAGGCCAAAGTCTTGAGAAGAACATGGTGGAGAGCACGGGATGGCCACCCAGACAAGGGGTTTGATGTGACCACGAGGACACGGCACAACTGTATCATATGCTAAAAATACTAGGACTCTTCTGAAGGAAAAAGGATTAGTGTCTCAAAAGTCACAAAGAATGTTTGCATGAGTCGTACATAGGTGTATTTGCCAAGTCTTGGCATGTCGAGATTGAACCTGTCTCAGGAACGCTTAGCGGAGGCCCTTAAGACAAATGAAAGAAGTTACTACTTGATACAAGTCATCTGTGGAATGGATTAGCCAGGCAGGTGGTTCAGACTGAACATAGTCAAGAAAATTTAAGATGAACTCACAGATGGAAAAAGCCCATGATGAGCCATCTGAATGACCACGTGATGCTGCTTTCTGATTCCTATCCTGGGGGAGGACGACTCTGCTCCTCCAGCACTCACCTCGGTGTCAGCAGAGGGAAAACACTGGGTAGATTAATAAGAGTCTCTGGCCCCCTCTGGCTTACTGGTTTTTAAAGTGAGACTGACAGGGGCGCTTGGCTGGCTCAGCCGGTGGAGCATGCAACTCTTGATCTCGGGGTCATGAGTTCAAGCCCCGTGTTGGGCATAGAGATTTCTTTTTTAAAAAGTGAGGCTGACACCTACGTGAATGTGCAAAAGAGAGGTAGAGCTGAGAATCATCGTCTAAACAGTAGCATAAGTCATATAGATTGACTCGAGCTTGTATCATCGAGGTCACTGGGTCTCCAAGGATGGCCCGTGGACCTGTTGGAGTCCCCAGGCCCTTTCAGCAGATTTTTAAAGCCAAAAACTGTCTTAATAATGTTAAGATGCTTGTGGTAGCCAGCTTCCAAGAACACCTTTGGTGATCCCTGCCTCCCAGTATTCACGCCCTTCTGCACTCTGTCAGGGCTGGTCTGTGGAACCAGTAGAATACGGCACAAGAAATGGTATGTCACGGGTGCCTGGGTGGCTCAGTTGGTTAAGCGACTGCCTTCGGCTCAGGTCATGATCCTGGAGTCCCTGGATCGAGTCCCGCATCGGGCTCCCTGCTCGGCAGGGAGTCTGCTTTGCCCTCTGACCCTATCCCTTCTCATGTGTTCTCTCTCATTCTCTCTCTCTCAAATAAATAAATCTTTAAAAAAAAAAGAAATGGTATGTCACTTCCAAGACTAGGTCATAAAAGTCATTGTGGCTGCTGTCCCTTGTCCATGGGGAGAAGCAGACCATGCTTTAGAAGTTCTAAGACTGGGGCGCCTGGGTGGTTCAGTTGGTTAAGCATCTATCTGCCTTTAACTCAGGTCAACTCGGATCCTGGGATTGAGCCCCGCATCGGGCTCTCTGCTCAGAGGGAGTCTGCTTCTCCCTCTTCCTCTGCCCCTCCCCCTGCTCACTCTCTCTTGATTTCTCTCTTTCTCTCTCTCAAATAGATAAAAACTTTAAAAAAAAGTTCTAAGACTTAGTTGTCATACTGGATAAATATGCTAATTCTTCCCAAAAGTAGGGCTATTAGGACAATGGGCTGGGAGTCAGAAGACCTCTGTTCAAGTGCTGCTTCTGGTACTTCAGTTGTGAGACCTCAGAAATGCCACTTCAGTTCTCCGAGCTGGGGTTTCCTCACCTGGGAGGGGGAGACACCTGGCCCAAGGTGGGTTCTGTTAGGAAGGAGGAAAAGGACATGATGTTTGAAAAGCAACTTGCAGTGCCCAACACAGAGCATTCCTGTTCCTCTGGTGTCTACTCCGTACCAGCATTTTTCATGCATTTTCTCATTTACTTCTCATACCAACCCTACGAGGTAGGCATTCTGATCTCCACTAACAGGTGAGGCACCGGAGACAGAGGAGTTCAGCCCAAGGGTATCCAGCAAGTAACTGGATTCGGTCTGACTCCAAAGCCAGTGTCCTATCCACTGATCACACCCCGCTGCCTCCAAGCCAGGACAGACAGCCAGGATGAGTCTGCAGATCAGTATACCTTGGAACATCTAAACTTTACCTAGAGATTATAACATCTCCAAGAATGACCTCACGGAATAATGCTAAACAGTGATAACCATTTGATGAGCACCTACTACATGCTTAAACATTAGAAGTTCAAAAACAGGTCAATTTCCT